ATCAGAATGCATGCTGTCTTGGGATTGGGGGAGGGATGAGATGGGGAGAAAATTTGGAACTCAAAATCTTGTGGCAATGAATGTTGAAAACTAAAAATAAATAAATTAATGAATTTTAAAAAATTTTTAAAAATTGTCTCAAAGAGGGAATAACATATACACTCACTTGGGTATAGAAAGATTTCTAGCTTACATTAGAGGAAAGTAGGAGGGAAAGGGGTTAAGAAAATGGGGGCAATGATAGAAGGGAGGACAGACTGGGGTAGTCAGAAGCAAAACACTTTTGAAGAGGGTCAGGGTGAAAGGAGAGAGAGAGAATAGAATAAATGGTAGTGGGGTGGGGGAGAATAAGATAGAAGGAAATGCAGTTAACAATAGTAACTGTGAAAAAAAAATTGAAGCAAGTTTCTCTGATAAAGGCCTCATTTCTCAAACACATAGAGAACTGAGTCAAATTTATAAAAATAAGAGCCCTTCCTCAATTGATAAATGATCAAAAGATGAGACAAATTTTCAGATGAAGTAATCAAAGCTATCTATAGCCATATTAAAAAATGCTTTAACTCACTATTGATTGAAGAAATGCAAATTAAACCACTCTGAGGTACTACCTTATACCTATTAGATTGAGTAATAGGACAGAAAAGATAGATGACAAATGTTGGAGGAGATGTGGGTGAAATGAGACATTAACATGCTGTTGGTGGACTTGTGAACTGATTTAACCATTCTGTAGAGCAATTTGAAACTATAAAACCATGCACACCCTTTGACCTAGCAGTACCACTACCATATCCCAAAAGAGATAAAAAAACTAAAAGGAAAAGGACCTATATGTAAAAAAATACTTATAGCAGCTCATTTCTGGGGCCAAAGAATTCAAAATTGAGGGGAGGCCCATCAATTGGGGAATGACTGAACAAGTTGTGGTATGTAATTGCTATTGTACTATAAGAAATAATGAACAGGATGCTCTCAGAAAAAAACTTGGAAACTTGAAAAACTCTCTGGAAAAACTTGCACGGGCTGATGCAAAATGAAATGTACTGTGTACAAAGTAAGAGAAATATTGTAAGATGATCAGCTGTGAATGACTTGGCTATTCTCAGCAATGCAGCAATCCAAGACAACTCTGAAGGACTTATGATGGAAAATGCTGTCCATCTCCAGAGAAAGACCTGATGGTGTCTGAATACAGATTGATGCATACTTTTTAAAAGCTTTATTTTTCTTGAGGTTTCTTTTTTGTCCATATTTTCTTTCATAACATGACTATTATGGATATGTTTTGCATGACTACACATGTATACCTTATATTAAACTGCTTGCCTTCTCAATGGGGTGAGGTGGGGAGGGAGAAAAATTTGGAACTCAAAGTTTTGAAAATGAATGTTAAAAATTCTTTTTACATGTAACTGGGGGAAAATAAAATAATAGAAAAAACTAAATAAAAATAAAGCTAAATCTTGAATGAAAAATAATGGAATGGTGCTTGCCTCAAGAATTGTTCATTTTACTGTCTGGATCCAACACATACATAGATAAATAAAGACACTGTCATTTCAGAATAGAGAAAACACTCAGAATAGGTGGGGTTATGAGGAAAGGTGTGCGTGTAAGTAGGGGGAGGGTGTTAGGGAAGGCTTTCCAGAGGAGTTGGCTCCTGACTTTATGAAGACAAATACTCAGGGAGAATAAATGAAAAGGGATTTATTTTTAGAAATGGAGAATCTTGCCAAAACTACTTATAATTTATATATCTGTATCTATATCTATATATAAACCATACATTCTGGGAAGTTTTTTGCCAAATAAAAAATGCTTAGTGCCATGAAGAATTGTGCTTTATTCAAAAGGGAGAAACAAGTTACATTAAGAATTCCCTTCACTCTTAGGAAATTGTTTTGTTCTGCATTACCTGCCCACCTCCCCTGCCCCCACCTCACCACTGGATGTACCTATTTTTATAATATAAGTAAACCATTTTTAATAAGGTCCCTTTGGTGAGCTTTTGAGATGAGTTGTCATAATTGCTGTCCTTCCTGAGAAAATGAAACATTCTGTGACTTAAAGAAAATCCAGAAAAAAAACCAATGTAATTATTTTGATATCACTTTGCTTTAACTAACTAATTACAACTATTATGTTGTTGTTTTAAAGACAGCAGATAAATTAGAGGTCAAATGGCAGATTCAGGAAACAGTAGTTAGGGTTGACTTAAAACACATTGTAAGAAAAGGGAGAACACTAAAAAATAAGTGTAGAAAGTTAAGTTGGGAAAACATTGTGGAGTTATTTAAATACCAGGCTGGAGAGTTTATATTTTTTTCCTAGAGGTGATGGAAAACTACTCAAGATTTTTGATCAGATAAGTACTGTACCTTTAGAAAAAAAATTGACAACTTCATAGAAAATTAATTAGAGTAAGGAGATTCTGGAAGCAGAAATAGCAATTGGGAAGAGGCCAGGTAAGACATGATAAGATACTGAAGTCAGTGAGTGATCATGTAAATGGAAAGGATAAAGATCTGAGAAGTGTGAAGGTAGACTTGTAAAGACTTAACTACTAATTGAGTGTGTGTGTGTGTGTATGTGTAGAGACAGAGAAAGAGAAACAGAGAGACAGGGATAGAGACACACACATACACAGACAGACAGAGATGAAGAGAGAGACAGAGAGAGATCAACAATGACATCAAGGTTGTAGAGGGAAGTTTAGAAGAGAAGGTTTTAAGGAAAAAGATAAGTTCAAAACTTTCCTGCTTATCTGTGCTTCCTTCTGAATTTGGTTCTGTTCTCTTTTGTATATGTAATATGTAATGAATACACTGTGGTTCCACTTTCCAGAGCCAGGTCTCTACATCTGTGCACCTTGGAGTTCTAGGGTACCCTGATAATTTAGAATGTTTCTTTTCTATTGCTATCAGCTTCAAATTCCACTATCTGATCTTCACCATTGTCAGGCAATGTTGAAATTGTTGTTGTTGTTCAGCAGTGTCTGACTCTTTGTGACCCCATTTGGGGTTTTTTTTGCAGAGATACTGGAGTGGTTTGCCATTTTCCTCTCTAGCTCATTTTATAGATGAGGAAACTGAGCCACACAGGGTTAAGTGACTTGCCCAAGGTTCACCCAGCTAGTAAATATCTGAGACCAGATTTGAACTAAGGAATATGAGTCTTCCTGACTCCAGGCCCAGATCCATTGTGCCACCTAGCTGCTGCAACCCAATAGAGAGTAATATCCCAGTTCCACTAAACCACTTAATATCAATTATCTTTTAAAATGAGATATTTACTTCAAAGATAAAGCAAGAACAAGTTACAAGCCTTCCTTCTCCCCATGCCCTTTCGGGCACAACATCTCAGGCACATGCTCATCTTTATAGTATCTTTAGTCTCTGAGGAGTAAGCTTACTCTTAGCACAGTTCCTACACAGCATTGACCCCAGATTTGGCCTGACTGCCACATGATTCCTTTTCTCGGCTACTGCTGGACTAAGTCACTCTTAAAGTTTATTTTTTGCTCCTCCAGACATCAATACTGTGATAGCTGCAAATCTATACCCTGAAATGGCTGGGCACTTTTCACCTGACCATTTAAAATTCACAAAATGCAACAATCTACCCTCTTTACTTAGGAAGGAAAAGAACAATGAGGCCAAGTATTGAAGCAACTCAAAACTTGGAGAAAACTAAAGAGCTCTTTTCTTCTTTTTTTCTACTCTCATTAACTGTGTCCTGTCCCACATGCAGGCTCAAGACATAGATCTTCATCAATAAGGAATCCTACATCACTGAGCTTTGGGACTGGGTTATACTTATTGATTGCCAGGCACTGTGATAAATGCTGGGGATACAATACATGCAAAGAGAAAGTTAATCCTGCCTTCAAAGAGTTTATATTCTAATGAGTGGAAGACGAGACACAAAAGAGAACTAAAAAAGTCAGGGTTGGGGTGGAGGTAGAGGGAGGAAAGAAAATACCTGGCATGGGGACATGGTTTTGAGTTCCAGCAATCAAGCACAAGGCTGGGAGGGGAATTAAGGTCACACGGGTCCCTCCACAAAATAGAGGTTCCACAAGGAACTCACCAGTGAGAAGGAGTAGGAAGTTCCATGGTGAGGCCCAGTTGCTAAGGGAAGTACTAAAAGACTGTATGGTTTGAAGTCTGGGAGCCAGGAGCTAGACCAGGAGGAAAGAGCAACAAAGCTGCAGGTCCACCCCTAGTCTGTGCCTCTGAACTGAATACAAGATCCTGTGCTGCATTAGAAAAATGAATTTGCACACCCAGGTCACTTGACTATGGGTTGAATCCATGATATTTACCTGGAAAAGACTGCCACCTTCTGATCACTACTTGCTCTGGTATTCTTTCTTAAATGAAGTCATGGATATAAATGCTATAATATATATGTATATATTACATATACATATATATACACACAAACATATATACATAGTCATATGCATTTCAATTGCACTAAAGTACTATATAATTACTGTACAAACATTCAGTTCACTAAATATATGGTAAGAGTTTACTATTTGTAAAGCACTCTGCTAGGTTCTGGGGACATATTAACTTTCAGAAAAGTGATATACTTGAATTCCAAGATATTATTCCTATTTTACAACTTTGTGTCTGTTTCGTCACCTGTAAAATCATGGTATTGAACTAGATAGATGTTATCTATGGTCCTTTCTAGCTGGAACATTCTGACATTTGAATTATCAGGATGTTAATCATGCTCCATTTGTGTATCTGGTTGGATATTACATCTCATTTTTTTTTTTTAGTGAGGCAATTGGGGATAAGTGACTTGCCCAAGGTCACACAGCTAGTAAGTGTCAAGTGTTTGGTCTGAGGCCCTATTTGAACTCAGGTCCTCCTGACTTCAGGGCCGATGCTCTATCCACCGCGCCACAAAGCTGCCCCAATATTACATCTCCTAAGCAAGTTTGCTGATGTCTAGAAACAGACATAGCTATCAACAGCAAATCAATTGAACTTTAGGCCCTTTAGGAAGATCTGGATCTTGCTTGTGGTATCCTTCAATGCCTCTTTCATTGTTTCATTCCTTAGACTGAAGATGAAAGGGTTCAGCAGGGGTGTGACAATGCTTGAGAGGACAAAGAGGATCTTATTAAAGTGAAGGTTACTCTTCTGTGAGGGACGGACATAGACAAAGATGGAGATCCCATAGCCCATTGATACCACAGTGAAGTGTGAGGCACAAGTGGCAAATGCTTTGCGTTGACCTTGAACTGAGGGGATTTTCAGAATTGTGGAAATAATGTGGACATAGGAGACCACTGTTAATGTTAGTGAGCTAATAAGTAGTACAAAGGAACTGAAAAAGTCCAACAGTTCAATAGCTTTGATGTCAGCACATGCAAGGTGCAATAGGGGAGCACTATCACAGAAGAAATGGTCAATCACATTGGGCCCACAATATGGCAGTTCTCCCTTAAGGATAGTAGATGGGAGGATGAGCAGAAAACCACTTAACCAGGATAGGATGACAAGTCGAACACAGAGTGGATGGGTCATGATAGTGGGATATTGAAGGGGACTACAGATGGCAATATAACGATCATAAGACATGACAGCAAAGAGGATAAACTCAGTACATGCAGAAAGGAAGTAGAAATAAGATTGTGAGAAGCATCCAGCAAAAGAGATGGTTTTTTTCTCAGATAGAAAATCAACCAGCATCTTAGGAACGGCACAGGTTATGGTTAAGGTTTCGCTGAAGGAAAGGTGGCTGAGGAAGAAATACATAGGTGAATGGAGTCTATAGTCCACCCAGATCAGAGTGATGATAAGGAAATTGCCTAAAATAGTCACCAAATAGGCCAATAAAAATAGTAGAAAGAGTAGGCCACTCAAGGTTGGAGTAGTGGGGATTCCCACAAGGATGATCTCTGTCACCATTGTCCAATTCCTCTTCTCCATAATGCCCTTGATCTCCCCTGCTGAGACAGTCACAGAAGAAAAAACAGCCAGATGAACCCCACCCATCAAAAAATCCTTAGGTAAGAATGGAGGAGGAAAGGACATTTCATTAATCAATCAGTATGCTAGGTGGAAAGCACTGTATTAAGGTCTTGGGATATAAAAATAAGAGCAAAATTTCCCCTGCCCTCAAGGAGCTTACATTCTAGTGTGGAAGTCAATATGTATATTAATATATTGTCTTTCTTCTATGTAACCATCATTTTATCCCACTATCTTTCATTAAAAAGGTTCCAATCAAGATAAGGGCACACGTTTACTTTTCAGTAACAGTTCCTTTATAGCATGTCTATACAGTCTATCAATGTGACTGTTATGCTAGTTAGCTCCACTTCAAAATCAATGTAACCAGGGAATGGTTGAAACTACTAATGGTGGGAGATCTGATCAGTTATTAGTAGACTATTAATTTATTGAAGGCAAGGGCTATTTTGGTTTTTGTTTTGTATCCAGAGAACCTTTCTTAATACCTAGTAAATAGTTGATGTTTAATAAATGTTTAATAAATTGGGCTTAATTGAAGCATTACTCACCTTACAAAGTTATTGTGATGAACATGTTTTACAAAAATACTATGATTACTATTAGTAAAGAATATGTTTTTGCTTTTGAAAAAGGCATTACGTCAGATTTTATATCAGATTTTTGATCTGATATTTTCATCTCAGCTTTCCATGTCAAACCATCTTTGGAGAACATAATATACCCTACAGCACTAAGTAGAGAAGAAAAGACTCCGTTCATCACTCTCTTCAACGAGTAAGTCAATTATCCCAAGATGAAATGTACTAGGTCATCTTAGGTATCAACATATGGATCAGAACATCAGAATGCGTTTACAACTATATATGTAGATGTACATATGTGTCTATATATGTACATTTATATAGATATATACATACAAAACATGGCTACATTCTTAAAGTTCTGCCTAACTAATCCTAATCCTTTTGCTATTTCACCATCCTATTTCAATAAAGGTGACCTAATAAGAGAGTTCATGAAGAGATAAATAGGCATATAGACAATCGGAACAGATAAATATAATCTAGCCAGATTCTCAAAAAGCTTCACCATGATTAGACACCAAAGGCAATTTGGTGTTGGTAAATTAGTGACTAGTTGCCCCTCAAGAAACATACATTGAATCTAGAATAGTCCATAGGAAGGCAGGAAAAACAGAAGCATTTGAGATGTAGTGGAAATTGTACTAGGTTTGCAGTTAGAGGATTTGAGTTCAATCCTGATTTTGCATGGCCTATGGGTAGGTCAGAACCTCAATCCTCACATGCAAAATGAATTGAATGAAGTAGATAACCTGTAGAGTCCCTTCTATCTCTAAGAAAAAAAAATAAAAATCCTTTGATCATAATATTGGCTTTAGAAATTGAGAGAGTTGTTTTTATAAGGAAAGAGTAGGCGGAAGAGAAACCAATGCCTAGAGAGTGGAAGGAAAGGAGCAGTAGCTGCTTACAGGTTTCATTTGCCAGTGTTCAACATAAAACACAAAATATGGAGAATATATTTGCTAACTTCATCAAGGGGTTCTTTGGCAAACAAGAAGCATGGATTCTAGTAGTTGGTCTGGATGATGCAGGAAATAAAAATTATTTTGGGCAAACTGAAACTGATTGAAATAGTAATTACTATTCCTACTATGGGTTTCAATATAAAAACAAAAAATTTGTAGAATACAAAAACATTAGCTTCACAATGTGGGATGGCCAGGACAAGATCCAACACCATGGCACCATTTCTTCCAATGTACAAGGATTGATTTCTGTGGTTGACAGTAAAGGCAGAGGAGTGAATGAGACCTGAGAAGAACTATTGAGAATGTTTGCAGAGGATGGGCTTTAGAGATAACATTTTTGCCATCTTATTAGTGTTTGCTAGTAAATAGGGTTTTTCCATTGCCATGAATACAGCTGAAATCACAGATAAACTTGGATTTATCACCCTTTTTGCCACAGAAACTTAAACATTGACACATGGCTGCTGAGGGTTAGCATGTAGCACCAGAGATGAATGCTAATCCTACTGGCTTGTGAGATCTGTATTGAGATTCATTTTGGTGGCTGGTTTTTAACTGAAACTCAGTGTATTATTTAAATAGTTAAAAAAAAAAAAAAGACCAAAAGACTTGAAGGCACAGAAGAAGGCGTGTAAAAAGAACTTACAATTAGTGTAAGTTTCAGAGTAATAACTTGGATAGAAACTTATTTTAATTGTCTATAGTTTCTCCGGAAACTTGGGAAATGAAAAAATCAAAATCAAAAAAGTGAACCATTTTGCGTGGTTAGAAATAGAGATTCATAAAGTTCCATGTCTTTTTATATTAATATATTTCACAGAGTTTGTGTGTGTATTTTATTCTCACATGGATATTTATTAGAGGGGATAAAAGGTTTGAGATTGTGGTTCAGAGCAGGATGCACATTGAGAATGATAGAGCTTCAGCCACAACCCACTTATGACTAGACTTACCCATCCCCCTCCTGCAGTTCAGGTCCAGCTGCAATTAGTTCTCCATCTTGAATGACTCTTAGGAAGGACACAATGATGACTTGTTATAAACATTGAAAAGAGTTTTTTGACATATTTGTAAAACAAAAAACAGCCTTTTAAATTTGGTCAAATATGTGATGCTTCTCTTTGAAATCACTCTAGAAATCTCTCCACAGAGAACACAGCTGTATTAGATCCATAGCTTGGTTGGAGATATTTCAAAGACACAATTGAGAACACCAAAATTTTTTTATATGGTGTCTAGGTATTAAAAGAAAATAAATTGAGCATGAAAACTTAGAGAATAGTTCCATTTTAGAAGTATTTGGCCCCATTATGGAATAATCTCCCTTCTGCATATGTGTGAAATGCCCTTTAGTATCCCTCATACTATAAGGGTCAGATACCATCTGAACAAAAATTATTTTTTTCTTTTATATTTTAATAAACACTGAGCAAGCTGGAGCTGTTAAACTTTATCTCAGTACGAGTTTGTTTGATATTGTGGAAACTCACTGCTTTCAATACACTATTAGTAATCAACTATTTTCTATGCTTGTTTTCAGTTTTCATTTTGAGGAACAAACACTGTAATTAAAGCTATTAAACTCACTGAACTATTTTTTTTAAAAAAAGAACTAAAATATTTGAGGCTGTAAAAATAACAGGTCAGAGAGAATTTGATATAAAATAATGACTTAATGACTAAAGTCTCATAGAAACTGAGATTTGGAAGAGATCTTAGTGATCACCTAGTCCAACCATTTGCTAGGTCCATGATTCCATTCTGCTATAGTCTTAACAAGTGGTGGGCTAGTGTCTGGTTGAACACATTTAATAATTAGTAATTCATTACCTAATAATCCATTTGATTTAATTTTCTTATTTTATCATCATTATCATTATCTGTTAAAAATAATATGAAGGTGGAGATTATGGAATGAAAAGATGGAATTTTCTATGTGGAGCTGACATTAAAGATCATTTGAACTTTGAGTAACTTTCCAAATGTAGTAAAGAAAGTAAATGGAAATTCAGACCACAAACTAGGCTTTCTTGACTGCAGGTCTTGGTTTTTTTCTACTATGCCATATTATCTTCTATTGTGATAGCAATAATACATACTTTTATAGCAAATGTATACTAATTTGCAATTGAACCCTGAAATATAGTTTACAAAGGCTCATTCAATTCCTCCTTTTTTCCCTGAGTAGTAGAAATAGACAACAATGATATTAAATCTACCCACTTTGCAAAGCTTTTTAGTAGAGGTAACTGGAAGGTAAACTATAAACTGTTATATTGGAGGGGTATAATGTGCAGCATAAAAGAACTGCCATGTTGAGAGACCTCTGGGATGGTAAATTATAAAACATGAACCTCCAAGCTAAATGACTACTGGCAAAATTCAACTAATAGATGTTAACAAATGATCTCTTCCTTAATCATCACTTTAGACATTGAACAACTAGAGATACTAAGGGCAACAGTATTCTTTGATCATGGACCATAGATTGTCCATGTCTGATTCTTCAAGAGGTTCTCTCATTTTCCTATCTACAAATCTGAGAACATGCGGCATCTTTTATCAGTCCCTAAACCTTTTCCCTGAAAAGATATGTGATCTCCAGAAATGATATCAACCTTGGCTGAAGCCAGTAGTGATTACTCATCTGATCAAGAAGAAAATTCAGCTCTTGTACATTTCTTCTTCCGGAAGCAGACTTCAGGGAAGAGTCTACTTGGGCCAAAAGCAACAGTGAGAAAGATTCTGGGAATGAACCAACTGCCAACCTAATACAAAGTAATGCATTAGAGTATGCCAAAGCGGAAAGTCACCTCTAAGTTTTGCACTAGCTATAAATTTAGTTCGGCACAGGGGAGACAAATGTCTGAGTTGGAAAAAAAAATCTTACTCTGAAAGAGTGGATAATTGGAGAGCTCATTAAATCCCACATCCCACAGGGATTCTAAAAAATAAGGAAATCTTACTTTAAATTATTGGTTTTTCTGTAGCTAACTCAGGTATTGTCTAATCTAAGGGTAAGTAACCTGTAGTAAGGGCACAGCTGAGTTTAGCATCCTTATATTCCTCAACATATTCATATATTGTATCTTCTCCCTCCTTAATTTTTTTCCCTTTTGTTCCTCTCCCTTGTTTTCTTTGTTTTGTAAACCTTAAATCTCAGAATGGCACCAAGCACCTTGCTTAGTTCTTAATGTTTCTCAGGATTTGATGAGACCAAATACCTCTATCTGCCACCAAAGTTTGCTAAAAGTATACATTAATTATCTTTAATATTTGGGAAGTCACTAATTTGAACCACCGACCATTTGACAACTCAGCACGCACTGCCAGCCAAATTCCACATGACAAAGGTCATTAAGACCTTTGTTTTTGTATAAGAAAG